TCAGGATCGGCGAACCGTATAGCCTTTCCCGATCTTCCTGCGTGAGATCCGAGTAATGGTAAAGAAATGAGGTATCCAGCATAATTCGGACAACAGTTTTAAATATTTCAGCGGAACTAATGGGACTGGCTGATGGTATATTCTACTTACCTCATGGAAAGGAACACACGTGACAACTAATACGATAAAAATTGAGATAGTGGAAGGCAGTTGTCAAGTGGGACAAGCACTGTGATCTTTTAGCGAAACAAAGACTAATTTCGATCATTCGCATCCTTCGAAATCCTTAACGAGCTGTCTGTGCCTTAAAATCAATTTGCTACAGGAATCGCGGCGGCTTCTCCTTTCTCAAAGGCGTGGTTCGCGATTCGCGCGTGTATATAACGATACGTGGCCCGAGGTGGATACGCGGGATGAAGTAAAAATGAGATGCTGCTGTGTAATTTGCAGGCGATCATTATTTATTGTGATCCTCACTTTTTGCATGGATTTTGCATATAAAATTGGCACGGTGGCATCGGAGTGTTGGGGTCTCGAGACTATCCGGACAGATGGGAGGCAGGAGAGCCATAATGAAAATGGGCTGCCTTACGCAACGTTATACTGAATGCTGGTCAGGGATTGGCACGATTGCCTTTCAGGTTGACACGTAGCATTTATATAGGAAGAATTCCAATAAGAATAAGACCTTATGAGGAGGGAGAAAGGTCAGGAGAGTGTGTCGATTATTTATTGAGAATTCACCCTTAAGCGCCATTGGTTCTCATTTCATAATTCCATGCATATACTGATTTTCTAATAATAGAAAATTAGTAACTGCTTCAATGAAATATACGTAGTACGATTAATTTTGTAGTAAAAGATTGTTAGGATTATTTTTATCAATTTTCTTTTTTGAACACCCGTTATTTCTTATATCTCTATCTACAGTCCGGTATAATCGATGCTATATGAAGGCGAATGCTGCTGTGGTACTTATACGCTTACACACAATAACGAGGGGTATAGTGAGTTATTGCATAACGTGAAAGCCAACTGAGGAATTCACTCTTACTGCCAACTTGCTCTGACCTCCGAGATGACGCGAATGATCCGTATGATCTGGACCGAGGAATTTGGTAGTGGCCCGAACTAATGATTACCGGTATTTTGAACCAGCCAACGAATTTAGCATAACTGGCCCGTGTTACGTAATGGCCTAAACAAGAGAAACGAATAACATACGTGCTCAGAGAAATTCCTTACACACTTGTCAGAATGAAATCGTGGCAAATCTCTTTTCGAAATCCCCCAATAGCTTGTTCACTCTGATTGGTAGTTATGACCTGTGTGAGATTCGCCAACAGAGATAAACATTTGGATCGGCGAAATCGTTGAATAAAAATAATATTGCTATAATAACAGAAAATGTGTATAGTAAAGCATCATTTGGTTTCTTGACCATTGGAATAATATTTTTTCATAATCTTTCCAGATCACAGACTCTGGTCCAGTCGTGATCTTGGGTATATAGAAATCCGAGTTAATCGCATATTAATGACGAACAGTACTGCTAACTGTAACAGCACAAACCCCATGCTGATGCATTAATGTATATCATAGAATACACGCGGTGCTCTTATCGAGATCATATCCCAGTCCTGATTCCGATCCTGATCCTGGCGTTGGATTCATTTTTTCATGGTTGAGTAACGGGTTGAACCGAACCATGAAGTGTCTGGAGTATCTCACGACTCGGACTCGTTCCCCATAAATAACAACGTAACTCGGATGGATATTATTTTTATTTAAGGGATGTTTGCCTTCCACCTCCCTCGTCGAGTATAATTAAATCGGCTTGGGCACTCGTACAAAAGCACCATCTCCTAGGACTATCACGGACGAGGATCTTCTTTATAACGGAATAATATGAATTACTGTACCCTTTATTTATCCTGGCAATAGGTACAAATGCACATCCTACAGTAGGATACATACCTACCTCCTGTACGTAACGTCGAACGTAAATTACTGCGCGATCTTATTACGCTATTTACGTGGAAATAACAGTCGAGTCTTCCGACATTAATCACCCATCTAAGGATCGCTCTTAATTAGATGATCTTACAGGATCCTCGTATATACCCAGCGCCATTACAGTAAGAAGCGTCGTAACTGTCCTTTTCGATAATAATTATTCTACGGCGAAAGTGGCATCGCCTATTCACAAGCAAGATCAGTTATGATGATTAAATACCTACCTGAGGATGGTCTTGAGAAATGATGCAACGCACAAATAGCCTATCATCGACTATCGCAGCCCTGACACTTTAGACGATCTGACAGTCAGTGAAATCAATTGAAAAATTATTTGGCAAGGTGTTAAAGAATGACTTGGCCATTATTGTGGATCCGGCTTAAACATACCTAACGACGTACTCATATACCAGCGACATGAATACCAACTACCAGGTAAATAACGTAATTTCATTGAATTATTATTATTTCGTTATAACGTCCAAATCAGACGGCGGATGACTACCGGATATTGTCGCTGTAATCGACACGAGGCCGATGATAGAGTCGCCAATTGTGGACACGCCTTGCTCAAGCGACTGGCAGGATCATTGCAGTAGCTCGAACAAGCTGGTTCTTAATAACCTAGATCCCTGGCATTGTGTGAGTTTGATTATTATACAATATGTATATGAGTATATTCATGAACCTCGATTGGCTAGAACCACGTCTATTCTTCTTACCACCTTCGAATGATCCATCATTGAATTTCAAGGCAGGAGCGTATACGCGCCTTTCGCGATTGTCCTAACAATTGCAATAGCGCTGTGATTGAGCAATCGATTTGATCTATCGATCTTCAATAAATAATAACCATTCCACCAACTGTGCATTAGCCAATAGAAACTTTTGTCTTTTATTGATCAATGAGACAACCCCTTGTCTAAATATTTCGCTGTCGTCCTTCGTCAGAGTCATCTTCGTACACTGATGATCTTTTACCGGTTACCGTTACCGGACCGTGGATGAGCGATCGATGACTCAAGAAAGGATCAATATCTCTTACCCACGTGTAACCCTAAGATCACGACATGAACCGAAGGTGGGTTTAATAATATAAGAAAAGTGAAAAATAATCAAAAGGTAACTGCTAGTACGGTGAATGACATCGTCATTATATATAATAACCAGCCAATAAAGTAAACCACGGAAAAAGATGGAATTCTTTGTAAAAATGATAAAAAAGTACTGTCTCTAATTCATAGGCAGTTTAATGCGAACTTCGTAACGGGGTTGTACGAGGACATCAGAAAATTCTCTGAAGAGGATTGTGTGTGAGAATTGCCTCTATTCTTTTTTTTCTCGTCTTGCCTATATTCACCCTTTTTTATGTCCTTTCACGCCAACAACTTTTTACCGTGATTTACTAACGGGCTGCGAAGGGTATACTTTGAGAATTACATAAACGACTTGAGTATACTCATTTCTTTTTTTTTGCTTTCTTTAATCTCAACGCTAATTTCGGCCCAATCCGAGTCGGTACCAATTGTACGTATTTTTGACCAGTACCTGTATTATCGATTTAGTAGGTAATACATAATAAGCACTGTCAGATATTCGGCAACTTGTCTCAACTATGTCAGACAATTATCGGCAGGCAATAAAGATTAAGTGGTGTGCCAGTTCTATAATATTTTTTTTACTTCGCTCTCGTTATATTTACCACTAGAATATCTTAATTAAGAACGCGTTGCCGAGACTATTACCGATGAGAGTTATTAGAGGAAACGTAACGCAATAAATATAACATACGTATATAACGAAGCACTTAAATTTAAGTTTCGAAGAAAAAAAAAGGAAAAGTTACGACAAGGGAATATTAAAAATAATGTAATAAAAAATTTTAAAAAATTGAAATCTGTAATAAAATAAAAACCGGCTAGAAGTCGATCGTACCTATGGGGATCTCAAAGGGATCCACCCCTATGGAGATTCCCTTCGGGCGGTCCCATAGTATAAGATTACATTGTGATGCCTTGTACGCCGCTAGATTCCCAATAAATTCCTCATCGCCCAATAAAAGTATCATCGAGAGCGCGCGTTAGTCCTCGTTGTAAATCAATCCAAGATGGCGGAGATACCGTGTAAACTGCGAGCGGCTTGCTAATCGCTCTGGCAAGTTATACGCCTCGCCTTGTAAATAGCGACGACAAGAAACGGATGTTTACATTCGACTGTAAATTATCCGGCGATTATCTGCGTACGTAAAGGCCCTCCGCTTCTTGGATCGGTTATAAATTATTAATTTAACTTATTGCCACGACCAGTACCACCGTACGAAAACCCCTTTACGATCGGTAACTTACAATTAATGCCATCCAAGATTTTCGGTACACATGGCATTACGTATCGAACCGTAAGTAGGTTTCTTGATTTTGACATATATGTTTCCCGGTACTGTGATAATATTAACGTATGCAAAGAACCATCTGGATATATCCTAACTATGTGAAATTCGACGAATTATTATGACGGGTAAATGAATTATAGGACAGGTTATTTGGTTGACAATCAATTAAATGAATTTTATGTAATCCATTGGGTGGACGTGGTTGGTACAGAAGTACGTAGCACTGACTTCCTAAAACGGTCGACTCTGATCAATTATTAGGATCCGTGAGTATATTTAATGATCACGAAATGAAGCACGTTTTACCAGTAGTGAATTTTCCTAAATTGGAAAGTGCCTGAATTGGAGCACGTTCCACTCCACGTGGTAACGGTAACGTTTGTCACGTCCTTCGTGGAACCGAAGTCCGGACGTTAACAAACAGCCTTACCAGACTAGACACGGAATGACAGTGCACCTTCTCTGACACACATACATCCGTACAAGAAGGAAGGTACTGCTTGTTCTTCCCGAGGAAAGGAAAATAAGAGTTTCGAAATGCTTAGTGAAAACGTCAATTCGTTTACCTTAATTACCTATTTTAATCAATTTTCAGGCTGGTTCTCCGTGGTGTCCAGCAATAGCGGTACAGGAAGTGCCAGAGTCTACAGGAGAATAGGTGCCTTGGTCAGAGCTGGTGTGCCTGCGTTTCTACTGGCGAAACCATTACGTGCTTATACACTGACTCACTCGAAGATGGGTAAGTTTTGATGATCGCATGGGAAATAAAAATTATTAGCAGAAAAGACTTTGACAATACTTGATATCTAGGACAGGAAGGTCCCAAGACGTATATAAGAGGCTTAGGTAATTTTTGCAAAACGGGATGCGCATTAGGCCGCACCCGCAGAGACACCAGGGAATACCGTTTCCACGTGAAACTTCTCCATCAGACTCCATGTTTTCCCACGGGAAGGTAGAGCGGCGTAACGGCCGAAGTAGACCGTCATCATCAGGGAGAGAGAACTGCTGCACAGCACGCATCGTGACGCACGGCAAAACACGATTCGCGCAAAAGGCAATTAACGCGAACGCGAACGCTCCTCGGTATTCAGACTTTTCAGTGACTTTCCGCGACGAGTTTTACCTCTTGCCGACAGTGTTTATGGCCTGGAGCACCGGCCGTATACGTGTCGCCGCTTTTGCGATTAAGCCTCGTAAAACGAAACGCAAAGTACTAAACTAGACACACTTTGCACAAAGGATAAACCTACATTGGATCATAATATCTCGACCGTCTTTACTGTCTTATCTGCTTGGCAAAGCAATTCAGAAAATTTACCGTAAAAAATATCAATAAAATTAATGTCCTGTGCTTCTGCCTTTTTCTCTCCTAAAATTTTTCTTCTCTCAGTAACTGGTCCTTAGGGCTGAATTATTGCTCGCGACGCATGTGCGAAACTTCTCCATAGAAATGCTATACCCGTTCGTCACGGTATTTCCGAAGCTTCGCAACGAATAGAAAACGACGGATAGACTGCAGCGATGACGTTGACGAAGTGTACAAGGACGATGACGTGAAAGACCGTTAACGACGATGAAGAGATGCCGACGTAGACGCGACAGACGCGCTGTATAGGTATATACATAGCTATATGCTTATAGCCATAGACCCAACAATGCACATAGATAGAGGCCGTAAGGGAGATTATTTTCTTGGGTGCAGCGACTGGCCGTGACACGAATGTCAATGTGTCTGTTAATGTAACCCAGAGTAGAGTGTCGTTCGTGCATTTAAACGTAGGCGAGTTGCGCACGTAACGTAATAGGCACGCGGTCCGGTGAAAGCCATGGGGTTCTTACGATATAACGTTATACCATTACACCAGTGCAATCGGTGCTCGTATATGCGATTTCTACGTTTTCTGCACGTGCACAAGGTTTACCATCTACGTATCGATATTACAACAGCTTTTGTAAGCTACGTCATCGTATTCACCATACTTCATTATTATTTCACGAAATTCATTTCTACCACAGAGAATATTATTTTTACGATACGTAACCTCAAAAATTTAATTTTCCTTCAGTTGTATTTTATTTTAATGTCTGGGATGCAGCTTTTGACGGTACTTTTTTTTTTGTATAGGGCAAAACAATGTTGCTTATTTTTGTTTGCAATAGAGAATGGAAATCTACGTGCGCATTATACAAAAACTACGGTCAAGGCTGGCGAGGTACTACGGCTTGCCGCGGTCTTTCAAGATACCAGAAGATCTCCCGTATCTACTGGTGTATCTGGTGTTATCGGGAGCATGCCCGAGGGTAAAAGCTCCAGGTCATCCGAGAGAGATCAGTACGCTCAGTGCCTTGATTCCCATGGTCATGAACTTTTTGCACCGCTTTCGGCACGAGGTGAATTCTACGCGACTTGCCAGGGCGGAAGCCTTGATACAGGAAGTGACGCAGTACTTTACAGAGTGCATCAGCTCGCTAGGAGAGATCTTCCCCTTAGGGTAAAATAACCTGTTTATAATAAATCCATCACGATCAAATATGCCGTAGTAATTAATTTAATGATCGTAAACTGAATCAGCATGTTTACGTATGACTTTTGACAAAGCTTAAAATATGTTTTCTCTATATTTTTTTATCAGGTTCGACTCGTTGCTGGACCGTTACCTATACCATTGCCAAGAGACTATAGTGGTCTGATGCAATTGGAAGGTGCAACGAGAGGACCCATTGTATTGGGTTGTGCTGTGCCATTGGTCCCTGAGCGACCTTTACCAGGGTCAACGATTCCTGAACTTCTAGAATTGGTAGCAACCGGACCAACTGCTCCTAGAGTAAAAAGGGCTAGACTAGGATGTCCATCCGAAGCTAGATTACTGGCGTCACCTAAGATGCAACGACTATTATCAGCATGCAGGTACTTGGATTCAAAGTATTTAATTATTTATTAAGAATCCTCAATTCCTTTCAATTCAACAACTGATTATGATCTATTAGATATTTTGCGTGACCTGATCTCATCCTGGAAAGTGTTACTGTGCTTTGTATTACAGAAGGGCTTTGGACCAGAGAGCAACTGAACCCAGGGTAGCCCCACCAAAGCCAACGTCAACCAGTTCCCAACTAAAGGAGCTCCATCTGAAGGAGATCAAAACGAAACCGGAAGCAAAGCCCATCCTCCAGAGTCTGAAGGAAGGACTGGAGCATATTAAAAAGACAACAATCCGAGATCGTAGCAACACAAGAACCGCCAACAGTACAGGGAACGGTTTCCTCGATCGGATCTCGAGGATAGCACAAGGCGGAAGAAGCAGGAACCCAGCAAAGAAGTCAGCGTCTTTCACATTCGCTGTGAGACCGGAACTCGGCATGAGGACACCGGAAAGATACGCGAGTCTAGAGTCAGACGCGAACTCTCTTGTTCCAATAATATCGTCATCGAGACAGCAAGTTCAGAGATCTATATCCACCAGCGTCCTTGAGATTCAATCACAACCTGATCTTGATCCTCCGTACTCCAAGGTCAGGGACAGTCTGACGCCATTACCACCGACTCCACCACCCAGGATGGAGGATATTTACGCAGAAATCTGCGAACCCACTGGTAGCCATTTGCAAGGTTCACACGAGGAAAAGCCGCTGCCTCCTGATAAAAGATCTTCTATCAGAGAAATGGATAGAGGTTACGTAAAGTTGTCAACCCGTTCAGAATTTTCTGACATTTCCGGTAGCACCGAGGACGAGGAAGGCATTTATAATACTGTATGCTGAATTAGGATTTTGACAAATTTTTATATACGAATACAACGCGGCCTAAGTACTTTTTACTTGGTACCACATCTCCCAAAAGTATTTAGTTTCGATACGATCGATATGGTAAAATATAAATGACGTAAACTTCACGCATCCCCATCCGACCTCAGGCGGAAGCACGTGCGACGCGCGGCATTTATGATTATGGTGCTAACATTGTGATTATCCCACTGGGACTTGCAATAATTTTTGCGAGGATCCTGATAAGAGACTTTGACGTTATCGAAAGATAATAAATTCGTGATAACGATCGATGAAAAAAAAAAAGAGTAACCTCTTCTAACGTCCATCCTAACAGATTGATTCCCGAACTCAATGAAACCTGTAATATTTGTACGTTGTGTATATTAGCGCGGAGCTGTATAATAAATAACAAACAAATATATACATATATATATACGTGCATGTATAAACAATCAATTTCCAATTTTCTTACTAAAAATAAATGAGAAGGACCAAATTGCAAGAACAACTGCCGGCGTAAATCAAGCGCAAAGGTGAGTGAACCACTTTTTCTCCAAACAACATTTTTGCTCTCGTTTTCCTTTTCGTCAACTCCAGAGACACGGGCAATCAACCAAAGAGAACACAGAAGCGAATTAAAAGAATCCCTCGATTAATCACAGCTCTTAATTAACGAGGCGACACGGGATAAAGTTAAGTGGTGGGATCCCATGACGGTAAGGTAAAGCAACACGCACATTGGCTGCACTCTACAACATCGTTTCTTGGAAGTGATGATTGGATCCTCCCGAAGAAGAAATATCAAACGGCTTCTTCCTCGCGCAGAAACCACATGAAAATACTCGAAAACAAAAGATAGAAAAATACGAACCTTCTCTCTCTCAAAAGAAACATTGGATTCCGTAACAAAAATATTTCACTATGAAAAATCTATTTTTTCTTCGTCTTTTTGTCTTCCACATCCACTTATTTTTTAGATCCCCCATAACCCAGAAAGCGAAGGTGCAAAAAGCCAAAGGAACAGTTGACCGTGACTTTGTGAAATAATGGAATACGATTAAGGCTAGCGCGTTAGCCGTAGGCCGTTAACATTTTACGAGGCCGTGTCCTATACGCACAGCTGCGACTATTCAATTACGTTCCAAGTAGTGAAGTCCACGGAGCTTTTGCTCTCCAACAAGCAGACACGTATTACGTCCATTAATATTAACAGCTTGAATAATGATAATTGTCGAGAACTATGGGGAAGAGTTTTCCATGATGGTTACCACGTATGTTGCCATCGCCAACATAGACACTCTTGTCTATATAATATACTGCAGTCGAGTTCTTTATACGTAACTAACTCACATACTGATTCTCGCAGCGAGGATTCCATGGAAAATGGAAAACAGGTCTACTTCCTGTTCCGCTGTTGGACCGTGAGACTCAGTCATCGGTGGATTTGAAAAAGGCATGATGACTACGTGCAGGATACTTCATATAGTTTTATGGATTGAAGATGCAAATAAATATCGATTCGCTTTGATGGTTATTCCTGTACCGATATATCAGGTTATAGATGATCGGAGTAAGGTCACTATAGCAATACACGTCTATCATCCTTGTTAATGATTATCGACGGGATGTGAGATTGTTAGGATTACATGCAAACTTTAATTAATACGATAAACTCGTATGCGCCTGCGCAACTATGAGGAGTGACAGACAATGACGAATTCTAATTAAGGTGAATTCTAACATCATTCTCTTGCGTCAAGAAGGTGCCCGATGGCATGAGACGTGTGGGCTGCACTTAATGATTCGATGACGAGAACTCAAGGGAGAGATATGAAAATGTGATGTCATCCCATATACCTACTTGTACTGCTTACCTGTATACCTGTAAAGCTCACATGCTTCCTATATCTTTTTTTAATTATTTCAAATGCACATATCTATACTTTCATGGGTAACATCTTACACGTGCTAGTTGGATATCTATGTGGTTTAAAAAAAAAAAAATTTTAAGTAGAAAAAATTGCAAAAATTGTTTTTCACTCTATTGACATACGTGGGTGATATGTTTACTGGTCGGTGTGCACGCACCTTAAAGGGTTACACTTTCGGCCTCGGCTTCGAGAGAACTAAGTGCTGTCGCTTTTAAAGTGATGTTGCATACTTACCGCGTCATTTACAATTCTAATTTTTAGCGGCTCGTCCCGTGCCGACCCACCCACGTTGTACCGGCGACACAGAATGCAGTGCGAACGTCGTTGCGGCTTTATGATTACATTTCGCAAAAATCCTAGCAAAATTATTTCGCGCACTCGTATATGGAATCGTCGAACAGGTGCGTCGATTTTCATCCGGTCGAAATTTAATATTGGATCTGTCCCATATAAACGCGGTTTTGACATAAATAGGATAGATCGATACTCCAGATGATCCAGACAACCTTATCGGTACTAGCGATCTTGGTCCACGGGTGCATATTTCAAGATCGGCATGCGTGAACGATTTCATGGCCGTCGGGTTGCCTTGCGGTCGTGTAACTCACCCTTACAACGTTAATGCGACGGGCGCGGAATAAGGTATCATATTTCGCATGCTGCTCCACTGATCGAGAAGGCATATTTTAATATGCAAATTAATATGCAAATAATCCCCACTCCTCATTTTTAGCCCTAACCAACAACCCCCGACTCCAGGAATCGAACGTTCTATCCCTGGTAGCTTCGAGAGGATTCTCACGACTGGCAAAATGTTCTTTGATGCACCTGTACCTGCGACTGCAATTTCAATCTTCTTTTCTTTATCTCACTCGCACGATCTTGCCTCGGGATATTTCTTTGATTTCCCGGAATTGCCGTGATTTTAATTTCGATCGTAAGATACTCGAAAGCTTCCCCTTCACCGTTTTTCGTTTCTTATTATAAATATAAAAAGGTATACGTTTACTGGAAATCCGACTACCTTGTGCCATTAACCGCCTTAGAATTTATGTCGAATCCAGCGATCTCGAAATCTGAGATTCACGTTTGATATTTCATAGCCAATGTGGATACGATCTTTTAGCAGGTCTCGGAATATTATTTTTTTTTTTGAAAAAAAAAATCATTTCACTCAATTAAGAATCGAGTAAAATCAAATACTAAATCTTGTCATCAAATATAAAACCATCGGTCGTCTTGATAGGCGAAAGTTTTCTGTTTACGCGTTTAGCCGAAATTTTGTCTTAATATATTGCCAGATCCAGACGCAGTTGTCTACACCTTAAATCATTCGCAGACAATAAATCAAACCAGTTTGTAAATATCATAATGCTTAATACACAAACCTAATCGTACTTGAGTTTCGTAAGAAGCACAATTTTCCCCTATGAATAAATATAGGACTGCTTTATTTTTCGGATTATTATATCACCACACGTCATCGATCCAGATAACCTACAAGCTACATTCTGCGATATCACACTGCCACGCTTATAACTACAGTATATACGTTATAAACGGATCGCTGATTATTAAATAAATGGAGAAAAAATGAAATTGTGATGAATTTACGTCTACGTTAATCAAACTCAATGTATTATTACTTTCTCCTGTCGAGTATCTGGGCTACGCCTGTTATACGGGCGAGATACCATCAGCCAGTGCTGTGTCTGTTTTACGACAAAATGACAAACTGGATTACCATACGCACGTGTGACCATTATACCCGCATAAAATACTGGTTATCAAAATAAATAGAACGCCTTTCTTTACCCTGGTTTCCCAACGCTAACCATATAAATTACGGTACGCTAAAAGGGGAGGCCGTAGATACAAGACGCGTATAAACGTATTAAAGAAAAAAAAATTTATCCGAATTATATATTTTCAAAAAAAAATTTCTTTTATCCCGTCACGCAACCCTCTATTCGGTCGCTCCATTACGTACCTATATAGGGGTACACACAATATTAATACCTGAATGGTCTTTTGAGCCATAAACGAGATCTCGGAAGATCTCTCAATGAAGATCTTCACGTTGAGGACATATTGGCAGGATGCAAGTATTAAATTCTATACCGAACAGCTTCTATACGGGAGAATAAATAAAGTATCCCCAGCAGTGAGTTCGCATCCCAGCTACAATATAAATGCACGTCCCGCATTCCCACATCGAGCTGGTAAGTAACGCTACACCACAGATGTGTAAGCTTTATATAAGATTCACCCCGGCAGCATCTTCCGCTGAATGATAATGTCTTCATTCTAGAAAATTCATTCTGTTATAATCTCCGATCGGATGCTGGACCCATGCACTACTGTCTGGTGGCGTCAGGGTATAAGAGGGGCGGATGAAATTTGACAGGCTGACAAATAACTCGTGATCCTTAATCCCTCATGGAGAAACGAGGATACTTGAAAAGATCCTTATTCCGAAGAAGAATCCCGCGCAGCATCCTTGTCCAAGATGAAAGGGTTTAAGGGTGAATAATAGTTGGTCTTACTAGATGGTACTTGAAAAATAGACTATAACGTAAGCAATGTATTTCTATATGGTGAAGAGCTACTGTTACTCGCAACTTATGATGAAGTACACGAACAACGTAAAAGGGGTCCATTCCTCTCGATGATCCTTGAGAGAAACTGCAGATCGTTAATCGTGAGAAATTAAAAAAAAAATAAATAGAATATCCTCATAGAATATCTTTAGAAAAATTTTCGCGTACAGCCTGAATGAAATGAATGAAAAAATATTTGCAAAAATCATCATCCCAAGTAGTAACGTTATAATGGACCAGTTTTAACAAGAGTAAATTATGGCTCGTGTAAGTATACAAAGTGCTACTATCGTACTGCGCAATCTTAGAGCTATCACACATGTAACATCTTCATTCAATATAACTCCTATCATAATCTCCATATGATGAACGAGCGCTCTTTATTCATGACCGTGGAATGGAACAAGATTAAGCGAAGGCTCATCAATACCCTTGCTCTATTAAACGCAGTAGATGTACCAGCTACATCGTCAGACATAAGAATCTACGATCCCATCACTCTATATATACAAGTATCACCCACTATTCTTCATATCAAAAAGTCATTGCATATACCCATCTCAATCCAAAGCATATCAGCGTAACACAGAATTCCATTTTATACGAAACTAACGGTATCCGTACCAAGAGCAAGGCAACAGCACACGAGATACTGAACTTGCTCAACAGTTTCATAACCCTATGAATATCAAATAGGCGTCGATCTCTGAGACGAGGAAGCATACAAACGGAGCTTAAATAAATCTTAAGCCCTGAGCCGTGTACCGAGTACTGTACGATGGGATGAAAAAAAAAGTTAAATAAAAAAAGTGGAGACTCAAGTCACATCCAGTCACTTTATTCCACCCATCGGAAGCCATGCTACGTATCCACGCGTCAGACTGATATCAGGGCTGTTACGCAAGACACGTAATACCCAATGCACCAGTGTGCAGAGGCACGTTCTACAAGTGCCCCGTAGAAAATCAGCTTCGAGTATAAGCACTCGTGACATAATCCAGCGCAGTGTATCACGCAGAGCGTAGGGCAAGAAGCAGTGGGTATATTAGATGCAGCAGTGAATCCCAGCGCGCCGGCCGGTAGTCAGACCGCACTGAGGCCAGCGCAGAATCCCCGTTAGATGATGAGGACTATCGCGTTGTCCAATGCATACTAAGCAGTTCTAGAAAATCAGTTGGCAGTAGCTCGTATACCGAGCCTGCCGTGGAATTGAATGAATCAGCCTCTCCCGGCTGAGCACTGGCCTTGCAGCATCCGTGCGCTATATATACGTACTGTACGCCATACGCTACCCCCGTAAGGTAGATACGTATAGCGCGGTAGTAACGCAACTGCATACAGTTGCATTATTGCCAACCCGTAGTGAAGGAAGATCGAAGAGGAAGAAGAGGGAACGAAGAAGAAAAGAGACTGAGAGAGAGAGAGAGTGAGTGAGAGAGATAGGCAGAGGGGAAGGGAGAGTGCACGTTGGCGTCGCCTGGAATGCCCGCGGACCACGAACGGTGCCGGTACGACGGGTTTACCTTTTACAGCCTCCCTACAGGATGTTTCACTCGAGATGAAAGCTGGCAAGGAAAGCGAACTTATTCCTGGTGCTCCTCCCTTCACGGTTGGGTGTCCTGAACTAAGGATACCTTGTGGATCTTACCATGCGCGAAGAAGCTGGACGATTAATTTCATCTCGGGGGAGAGATATGCCGGAGAATAATACTGTGGGATGATGCTGCGAGATGATGAAGGGGTTGGTAATGCTCGGTGAGCTTGCTCGTTGTTCGGTGTAACAAGGACGAATAGATTGTCGGTGAATCCTTGGGTTTAATTTGTATGGGGAGAAAATCAGGGGGGGATTATATGTCGTAATTATACGAGCATGTTTATTCATGGGGAAGTCTATGGTGGTTTGATGGTGAGGATGGTACGAAGGGAAATAAAGAATAACATGGGAGAACAAATGTAAAGATTACGTATAGCGCAAGTTTTCTATGGCTTGCGGGTAATACGTGCTTACATCTACTTATGACGTGTGGCTAGAACGTGTGTGGCTACAGTTATGGGAGTAAATATATCTCTTGGGGAACACATTGCGCGGATATCGTGCGCACCTACGTGTAAGTAATCAGGCGGTATTGTTCAGAGAGAAACAGAATTTTTGTTCAGTACCAACATTTCTAGAGTGCCAAGCATGGTGATATTCAATGAATGCGTGCGTGACATTTATTTCAATGTTATATGGGGATTTTGATAGTTGGTATTACTTGACAATGTGGGTATATAATGTATAATGCAATGGCTAGAAAGTGATACGGATTTATTCGTATTTTTATGAGTGTACCGAGATCATTATTTTCGCGTGATAAAATTATTATTAAATATCAATTCTTTAATCGGACTATCCAAGTGAATCGACCGGTGATCTTCAGCGGTCCTGACTAGGCGCGTACGTGCAGATGCTCACTGGCGCATTATCGCAGTTGCCAGAACTCTCTCCTTATAAAGCTCCAAAACCGCAAAACGATCGACGATCGATAGCTTGACCCATCGACCACTTGATTTGAATGCTTATCCGATAATAAGTGATAATTATCTAACCAGGACATTGATACTCTCAGATTCATAAAATGGATCAGCCTAATCCTTGTTTTATTAGAAATTAAAATTTATAGTATTCAATCATTTTACATATAAACTAATTAACGTTTATCTAAGCTCCATAGTTCAAAATTCAGGATCGAACTGCTCCCGCATTAGTCAATCCACTCTAGACACTTGTCGAATTAAATACTCCGGATGTAAGTTCAATTCCGAATGTCCTGTACCCCATTTGACCCATTAGCACAATCACGACGTTTAACGTAGTCCATCTAGGTAACGGAACAGGCACGCAGACCGGAAAGGAACACCGCACTTCAGAATGCCGACGCGTGCTACACTGCTTGCCTTGCCTTGCATGTCCATATAAGATAGACTCGAGTCTTTCCTACAGTTGAAACTAGATACTTGTTCGAGAGAAGTCATAGTGCGATGCCATAATCTTTTACAATTGATTAGAATCAATGACGGTACTTCTGATAGTAAATTTAAATCCTACGAATTAAAAAGTGATACAGAGTCGAAAGTGACTATGGATGACAATGAGTTCAGTATTATGAAATAGATATAGTTTATACTCAATGTCCATCACGTATTGCTGTAATCCTATGACACATACGTTTCCGGTTTTCTATGCCTGTCATATGAAAATTTCTTAACTAACGAGACGCTTAAGAGTCTCTCGTATGCGTAATGCCGGCACACGTGTACCGAGGTACTGTATCCAACAGTGTAGGATTAACTTGAACACCCGGGCCAAAGTACGTGTCTCGCGTTAGGCTGTCCTTTGTCCGAATATTCAAACGAATATGTTGCCCAGCTACCGACAAGTATGTATTACCGAGCGAGACTCTAAAGAGAGAGCCGATAACTGGTTAGGCTGGCGAACGTGGGCGCAATGACCACTTCACAATGGCTCTAACGATCTGCGAGATCCTTCGGGCATCCTTCCAGCATCTACCATGCGAACGCCACGATTTAGGATCCATGAGGTTCCGCACACCTTGGGGTGTACGCACCCTAAAAGGGATCCCGAAGAGAGGACGATGTCCTAGACGCCCACGTGATTCTGTCTCGTCCTGGAGAACGCAGTGGATCGGTTGTCACGACTTCTTAGAAAGAACGTAGAATCTTTGAAGAATTAATATATTAATTTATGGAGGTACATTTTAACTGAAGAAATTAAATGAAGATTGAGGACTTTCTTTTAAATAGATTATTCGTTTTGTAATTGTTAGTTGTAATATTTTTAAAAATATTTCGTACAAGTGAAATTACTTAAAAATATTTTTTAACAGATTTTAGGTATCTTTTTGAAAAATTTAGTAACTCTCATGGTGATTACGCTCGAAATATATTGATGTGTGATAAAGTGTGCAAATATTGAATAAATCCACAGTCTTACGTGTTCCTTAAAGCCATCGCTGATTGTCAGTAAGTCGGCAGACCGCCTCGCCAAATAAGGTTGCTCACCCCAGGCAACCTTCGGGCCACGAAGAAGAAACTGGCCCTTGTGATTTCGCTTAGACCCTTCGTTTGGCTGTGTTTCTTATCTGAATCGGCAAATCTAAGTTGGTGGTACCTTGGCAAGGGAGAACGAGAGACGACGGCTATGTAAAATAAGAAGTAACAACAGGACAGGGTTCATTTGCCGAACATCAAATTAGGCAGGCGGCATATACCTTGAGATAACAATTTCACTAATCAATACAGTCAAGAAATATAAATCACCAAATAAATTATAAATAAATAAAACACCATAACAATTCAAATATAACATTTCTAAAACGATCCTAAGCCTTCCAATAACACTGTATCAAAATTAATTTTAAAAATGACGCGATAGCCTATCCCACCATTTGGGTCTTAGACATTCGAATCCAAATCGACACTTTGTTATATATTTCAAACTAATTCCATCTTCCAAGAATCCATCACTCATCCAACATTTCGCACATAGATACCAAACTTCTCATTGATCACCTCACCTTTTCAGTCACTAAGGTCACGTCCAAATAGCGGTTACCAAAAGAACACGTACCGGTGACCTAATGCTTCTTTAATAAACCTAACAATAAGAAACCGTTCATGGCCTAACGTTTCTTTTAAATAGATTCAATAATTCTGATAACAATTGATAAAAAAATGTATACCTTTAACAATCAGCACGTTAATCTACAAATCATTCGAATTGAAAGACCCTTAATGAAATTCCAGAGGATCGACAAGTCAAAATAAAGAAACCCAAAAAAAGAAATATCAACGACACCTAAATCATCCCACTGTGCAATCCCGTGGGAATAAATTCCAATTAAGAAGGATCGATACGTGTATTACGTTCCAATAAAAAGAAAACAATAATGTCTCAAGATCATTGAAACAACCATAACGGAATAATAGCCTCCTAGCAATATCTCTCTACGGAATAAATTCCTTCTCCTCTATAAGATATTCCCCGATCTACAGCAACAGTCTCAGAACCAACCAGCAGCAACAGCATCAACTACTCGTTAGAAATCTCGCGTACTACTGACCAGTAACCCGCTACTGCAACAAGTGCACACGTTCGATGCGGCATCATGCATCAGAGAAGCAACGGTAGTGCAGCAAGCAGTACGTACGGGTTGCATACATTTTCCCATACTTATTTAGTCTATACATACCTATAGGAGAGAAAGAAGCGACTCGACGAGCTCACGGCAAACTTCGCGGGAAAACACGAACGTGACCAAATACGAATATAATGAAAATTCTAGCTTCTATATTAAATACTATTTATAATTTGAATATCGTGTAAAATTACGAAAAGGATATCGTCGTTTGATCATTCAACAAGAAACCAGCGACTCCACCAATTGGGGGTAAGAAACGCGTTACTTATTATTAGATCACCTCTAGACATTTATGCTTAACCAGCATGCGTAATACGCTTCTCGTATCATATACTATTCTATTATGGCGCAAATAACCTACCCGTATAACGAGAACCGTAAAAGTACGAGGCGTGTCGGGTATAGCCCATTTTACGGTATCCGCAAATTGCGAAGGCGAGCGTTGTGCAATTTAACATTGATTTTCACTCGGTGACGAAGGGAGAAAAAGTTTTATGGTAAAAATATTATTGAAAGTCAAAAAAAGGTGTCTATAAGAAAAAAAAAGGTGCAAGAGGATATGTAATCTTCCCATGAGAACATCCTGTCCAGAATCTTAGCCCGAGCCGGTTTCATAACAGAATATGATCTATGATCCAGCTGGTTACAGTTATTGGTAACTAGCCGTTACCAATTGGTAAGAAACGATAACGAGGTTATTGGCACTAGTCTCTTACGATATTTTATCTATACCAATATGGACCTATCTTGTCAAATCATTTAAGCACACTCGAACAACACCTTATACCTACATGTAAAACATGATAGTATAAAACGAGTCAGATAAAAAATAAATATATATATCTATATTATATTTACTGTTATCCAGATAATTTCTAACCGTTATACAAGATAGTAGGTACCTTTAATAGGTACTTAGGAAAATTGATCTCAGTACTCAATGACACAATTATCGATGCAATTTATTAATAAGGGGAGTGTACGTCCGTCTTTGAAATCTTCGTGGATCAAACTAAACTTCTAATCCCATACAGCATCCAGGGCAGTTATAGTTATAAGTTATAAGTATATACAAGCTAGTATTGGTTGTTCCCGCGTGTCTGGTTATGCTAATTATATTATACTCGCAAGATGTTACTGAGATACATTCGCGCGGCTCATTAAATAGGTGTACGTCGCATAAATAATAACTTTATTTTCCTGCAGGTGGCACGGAGCTTCTTGTTCGCCTTAGTAATGGAGCTTTTTTCACAAGAGTAAAAGTTGAGATTACGAAGTTCGCTATTAGCACACTCGGATACACGCGAATGGCTTACGCACGTTTACGTCGGCCTGACCTCCACCATATTCAGGACGAAGGGCTCTAGCTGGATGATCCTTACCAAATTGACTAGGGACGTCTCTCGTACGTGGGTATGCGTCTTTAGGTAGACTCGTTACCCGGGATGGTAAAAGGACACTTGATACTCGGTTGTTCGTAGTTGGTACTTCACCCGGACAACGGGGGTCGAAGATTCGAACTGTCCAGGGTTCGACGACCGTTCAGTCAAGGCTGCTGCCATTGCATTCGACCAAGCCAGCGCCCATTCCTGACTCCATACCCTGATGACTACTATGTATTGGCCATCTTGTTACTCCCTTCCATGATTTTGTTGATTTCATGACTCGTGACTTTCCTTCGAATTGATTGTTTCTCCAAGAGGCCACTGTTTCTTGCTCTGAGTCAATGATGGATTGTGATTGGACGATATCGAAAAGGAGTTTTTACGGTGCGGACGGAGGTGCGAATAAATCTTTTGTTAGGAGTGATCGAAAAGATGGCTAGCAAATTTTGTATGGGCGTGCCAATCCCATAAACTTTAAAATATGATATCCTTCGGTGGACACGTTAATTGCTATGTGGATGGTTGGGAGAAAAAGAGTTTTGATAAATTGCATTGTTAAGCCGACCCTCGGGAACCGGCATTCCGGTATCTTCGAGAACGCTGCTCACCTGCCCTGATCTTTCGGAGTTGATAAATTGCCTGGCCTTAGGGGCTGCACCCCGCGAACAATCAGCACCACTCGGGTAGCACGTGGATCAGGAAATGAATTTTTAATATGTTTTACTTTAGTGATTACACCATGCAATTGGTCTTTAGGGTATTGTAGGATTCTTTGTTATGGTACGACTGACTTCGCTACAGGGAGTTTCACTGTGGGTACGATTCCGGTCGCTTAGGAATTCACTCGAATGCCGAAAGTGCCTACGAGTATGGCCAATATGGCGGTCGGCAGACATGCTTTGAATGCATAACATTTTTTATCAGATCGGAAGGAACGTGCAGTCGGACCCTCACGAGTTTGTAACACTCGAAGAACTGAACGTCAAAACACGAAGACTGAACAGAGGATATTCACGTGAGTACAGAATCGGATGGTAAACGTACTTTTACGGTCATTGAGCCCTATGATTTATGATATGAATTTAGATGTATTCTCTTAGCAGGCTTATGTATTACCGTATAGATAGACTCAGTTCAATTATAATTTTTCAAAATCGTTCAGACAAAATGGATTCTGTGTCTTAAGAAAATAATTAAATCTAATTACCTATTATATGTACAGTCAAAATAAAATAATGTCCAGATATACCAATATCTGATTGTCCGTATAATCTCGTAGTATATATCCCTATGAAGAAACATTTATTTTGACTTCACCTTATAAGAACCGATCGTGGCGGGAATTTTCAATTGGAAATTCTGATTCCACGTGAAACGGAAATGTCGGTGAGGCAAAAAAGTGGAGCTGGCACCACGCACGTGGAAAGCAACGAAAGCAAAACGTGCCGAGATTTACCATCGTTCGATCTTATCGTGAGGTGCGACTGTTTTTCTCGTATGCCGCTTCGAAATCTTCCACGGAATACAAAATATCCATATAAGAACACGTCATAAATATGTCCATTTTCTTTCTCTAAAACATCTCCCCAGTCAAGTTACAGCAGCGTATTACGAAATCCTTTCGAAAAGTTAAGAGGGATATCGATGAAATCTCGACATTGTCATAGGTCAAACAACCGCGCCATTCTTTTCCAAAGAGATTGTAATAGAGGTAACAGGACACGAAGTCGAATGGTTCTTGAACCGCAATTATGGCCCAAGGCCACCGCTGACAGAAGAGTCATCTCATTCATTTTTAATCGCTTCCTCCTCGTACTCCTGCGGAGAAAGGAAATAGGAACAAAAAATAAACATCCACAAGACTCTCATAGCTACATCTAACATAGCCTCTGACGTATTCCCGGACATCTATAAACTTAGGCTACTAAGGTAGGTACGTCATTCAGGCGTGAAATTTGCAGATTTGAAAAGCACCATCTTCTTAGACGATTGTTATTACTCGGATGGGATATCAGCTACGAAGCAGCAACAACAGGACGAGAGTCTTCGAATGGCGCAGGATTTAAAGGAAAAATCGAACAATTGATAGAAAATAATTTGGTCGGTCGGTAACGAAGAAATCTGTATGAAAAGTAAAAGAGAATTTTCTCTTTCCTACACGGAATTACTTTCGCCGGCATCCAAGCAATGGGGGGATTACCGAACTCATCATCGTCCAAGGACCCCGTAGAGGATGACTCGGACGAAAGGACGATAGCCCGATGACACCGTGGCCAGTCCCTTATTAATAATCCTCTCTGTCAAACTTCACACTTTTATTTTTCATTCGTCGCATGACGTTCAACCGAGGTTAACAGCCATTGTGAACATTACGCCATCAGGCAACATCTGATGGTACAACATGACAGTGGGGACTGGCTAGCAAAATTCCAATATAATGAAGATGACCTACGACTCGATGACGGAAGGACTTCTTGGACTCCAAATAGATTTCTATAAGACGCTCCTACCGTCGGATATTAGCCTGGGCATTTCTGTGACGTATAGAATCCGCAATGGGTATTATCGACCTGAAGGTTTTTGTACGTTATTATTCGTAAACATTATTACCGAGCTTATATGCTGGAATTTACTTCATTTAAAATCCCCGGTTTCTATTTCCAAAGGCAAAACGATTTCGCGATGCTTTTATTGGACATGGCTATGATATTACTACACGTTGACGTGTAACACGTTGCATTGGGAATTAGTAGTTGTAGCCTTATGGGTTATACCTACGGTATGATGTTACGTAAGCAAATTGGTGGAATAACTGGTAGGTAAACTGTGCAAAAGTCAGCAGGGAGTCCCGTGTATAATACAGTTGACTATCTTATAAACATGGGAAATGCACTGAGGCCTCCATTGTGCAACCAGTGACTTATGGTGTAACCTCTGGTTTACACGACGCTGTACGAATAGAGCGCACTATAGAGATAGGGAGAAGAGAAGACGAGAAAATCCTGTCGCGCTGCTGGAAGCACATCGTGGACAGTTTAAACGACTGAGAATGAAGATTTAACTGTGGCCACCTTGAAGCAAACGAGGAATATGGACGATAGGGCTTAAGAGTGGTGTAGTCATTAATTTTCCTTATGGCAATTAAAATGACTTCTGTTTAGTCGAAAACGAATCACGCATTTGAAATATACACTGTGTCGGGTAAATATCAGGCAGACCATACGATTAGGCGAAAGAGCATAATCTAACTTGTTTATTATATGAGTACAATCAAATGATTTGTTACGCTTCGAAATTGTGGATAATGATGATTTTTTAATAGGATCGATAAGAGCGATGTCTGAATTAATGATCTTGAAAATTATAATGGTACAGGCAATTCATTTTTGTTATTGTATGAAAAGTGCTCATAGTTACATATAAGCGCGCAAGATTTCATCAAAGGCCGGGCCGACTTATTTATTACATGGACCAATAGATCGTTCGATAAATCCTCGGTAGAAAGTGGAACGGTAAATC